GGGCACAGGGGGGATCCATGACCCTGGAAGTCTCATCCAACCTCAGGGATTCCAGGATTCACTTCCTGGTGAAACCTGTAATCCTCAAACCCTCCTGTAGCCACGGGCAGAGTTGGGATTGTTTCACCCATGGCAGGCAAAGCTGGGCTTGACTTCCACTGAGGGTCCAGGAAAACTTCAGGACACCCTTGGGAAGCGCTTCCAAGTCTTTTGTGGAGGATAAAAGTGCCACTTGTGCCTTCCTGACAGGCACCATGAGGGCAGGGAAGCTGCCCTTGGAAGGATCCAGAGCCCATGAAGTTTTCTTGTTGACCTGCCACCATTTCTCCCCGTTTCCTGTTTGCTGCTCCTGGAAAAAGAGACACCTCTCAAAAATCCCAGGAATTCCAGAGTGGTGACCCCAGGCAGTGCTATGGAATCACGTGCCAGGCTCTTTTCCAGGCCTTGGTGCTCTTTGCCCTTGGCTTTCCGGGCACAACTGGTGGCTGCTGGAATTTGAGGAGCTGGATTCCTATGGATAGCAGGGTTGGATGGGAGGATTTACCCCTTGGGGATGGAGATGTGCTTTCAAAAAGCCATTTTCCCTGGCAGAACTTCCCAGGAAACCCCAAGCTTTGTGCACCAAACACTTCAGGATAACCTTCCATGATTGTCCAGCGCTGGGGGTTGGTATATCCAGGGAATCTCCAACCTCCAGGGGCTGATTTGGTTCGATTTTAATTTGATTTTTAAAAATAAATTGAATATTAATAATAATAATAATTGGCACTTCTCTTTGAATTCAGTTAAAATATCGAGTTGGTGGACTAAAATTAAACCTTAAGGCAGCAAATTCAATGTATAAAATACTTGATTTGCCATTTTTAAAATTGATCTGCAATATTTACATGGGATTAAAATAACAAAAGCACAAATAAATAACATGAAGCCTTATCAGTTTATCCCTAAAAATGAGTGTCCTGCCCATGGCAGGGGGTGGAACAAGAGGAGCTTTGAGGTCCCTTCCAGCCCAAACCATTCCCTGATTCCATGAAATATTAATTATTGGTAAATAATTAAGTATTAAGTAATTTGATAGGATGTGCTGTCTGGAATCTGAACAGCGTCTGACACTTCATAAATCTGATTTTTTCCTTCCAGAGAAAGCCACAAATGAATACAACACCAGTGAGGACTGGGGGCTTATCATGGATATATGTGACAAAGTCGGGAGCACTCCCAATGGGTGAGTTGGGCCCTGGAATTCCATGGAATTCTGTGTTGGTGTGAAGGATATTTCAGAGGGAAAACCCTCAAAATGCTCAATGTTAAAATATGTGGTGTTGGCTCTGAAATTCTTTAAAAGAAATATTCCAGCGGGATTATTCCAGCACAAAACCGAGGGCATTCCAGGTTTTTTCTGGAATTTTGCACAGCAGCCCGAGTTATTTAATGATCCAGCCTAAATTTTGGGAGGTGGCTGTGCCAGGAGGAGAAAGGGGAATAGTTCCTTTGCAGGAAAATACCAATTTATGATGAGAAATTTGGGGTTGATTAGGAGGAAAAATGGGAGTGAGGGAGGAGAAAAGGGGAAAAATAGGGATGAAAACACAGATCACTTGGAATCAGTTGGAGCTGAGTGGTAATACTGGGATATAAGGGGAATTTCAGGGATCTTACAATGGCCAAGAGATGTGGGATTTTAAGGTAAGATGCTGAATTTTAAGGCAATTTTTTCGAGTGATAACACGTTTTAAATTTTTAATTAAACCTCAATTAGTGCACAGGCAGAATTCTGAAGGAATTTAGAATTTAAATACAACTGCTAAATTAAATTCTATAACATATAACATTATGACACTGAGAAAATTGAGGTGTTTTTTTTTGTTGTTGTTGTTTTCTTTGTTTGTTTTTAATTAATTACCTCCCACAAGGAATAATAGCAAATCTGTTCAATCTTTTATTAAAAAACAATGGGTTTAGTGCCATTTTTGTCGAGTTTTAAATCTGGTTTTGGGGGAGAGGAGATGGTAGAAAATGCAGTGGTTTGTTTTTCAAGGATACATTCAAAAATATAACTATATAAAAATACACAATTAAATCTTATCTAGATAAGTTTTTTCCATGAGATCAAATCCTAAATTCTGAATGTTAAAATCACTTCAGTTTTGGGTACTTTTCATCCCTCCTGCCCATCACTGAGATAATAATAAATAATTACATTATGAAAACAAATAAATATATAACTTAAATAAATATGTAACTGAAAATCAACTAAGTTGACTTTGTTTGTACCTGAAATTATGATAAAAATATTAAGAATAAAAGTATATTTCTGTGGCACAGAGACTTTTCTGTGCTTTGCTAATACAGCAGCTGAAGGGATATTAGCTTTCAAAATGCAGCATCAGCTTTTTCAGGGGGATTTCATGTTTTTAGGAGCTCAAAATAATAATGTTAATGAAGCTTTTCATCTGCCTGAGCCCATGTAGCTCCTGCTGCCATTAATGCTCATTTAGAGTGTGGAAAAACTCCTCAGCTGGAACATTTAAAATGCTATTTATTATTCTCTACCCACCTCAGATTGTGCTGAAAGAAATCATAAAATCCTTGTGTCCTCAGGCTCTGGAAAAGGGGATCCAAGAGCTGGAGCAGCACAAGTTGGAAACTAAATCCTTTGCAGTGGCCTCTAAAATAACCATTTATTTAATCATTTCTTTTATAGTGATGTTTCTTCCGTTGTCTAATTCAACTTAATATCATTTTATCCCTTTGTGACCCATCAGCAGTGTTTGGAAATGGATCCAGGGGGAAAAATGGAGCCTTTTCCAAGCCAATGCACAGATAGGAGCAAACAGGTGGTTAAATCTCTTTTTGAGCCCAGCCCTGGGAGAGGTTTTCAGGTTTGGGGACATTTTTTGTTCAGAAATGTTTTGCCATTTGTTGCTCATCCAGTTGGAGTGTCTGCTCTGCATTTCTCTCTGATTATTCCTGATAATTCCTGATTATTTCTCTGTTCCTTTGGCAGAGCAAAGGATTGCCTTAAAGCCATCATGAAGAGGGTAAACCATAAAGTTCCCCACGTGGCTTTGCAAGCACTGACAGTGAGTAAATCCCCCCTGTTCCCCCCAAAATCACTATTCTTGATGCAACACAGCCATTATTTAAACCATTAACCCCTTCATTAACTTCAGTTAATAACTTCATTAACACACAGTGCATGTACTAAACACAGGGTTGAATTGAGCTCTTTTATTTTGGATTATTGTCACTGTTTTCATGCTTTTTCACAGTTGTCTCTCTGCTTTTTTTGCAGCTTTTAGGAGCCTGTGTCTCAAACTGTGGGAAGATATTTCACCTGGAAGTGTGTTCTCGGGATTTTGCCACCGAAGCTCGAGGGATAATAAATAAGGTAAAGCTTTTATAACCTTAAGTGCTGGGGGAGGATTATTTTGGTAATTTCTCTGCTTTGTCTCAGCATAACAAAACTAATGTTGTGGTTAATGCACTTTTTCTAGTTTTGGTGCAGTTGCAGGAACTTCTCTTTGTGTTTTCACTGAAATTTGTGATTTTTACTGTCAAAAATAGTGGATTAAAGAAGCAACAGCTGCTGATACCCTAAATGACCTGAGCAGTTTTAATTGAAATTCAAACCTGTGACTCTTCCCAAACTCGATTAATTTGATAATGGTAAATGCAGCTTTTCTTGAAGAGGGTTTTATTGGCCTTGAATGAAACTCTGAAGTGAGAACTGTCAGAAAGTTAAATCACATTTTTACAGGGAAAAAGGTAAAATCTGCAGACAATTTTCTAGGAATTCTGAAAGAGAAAATAACCAAGAAAGGAAGACTTAAAGGTTGGGGTCCAGCAGCTGATGGGGTTTAATCTGGATGTGATGAATTGAAAAGCACAACCAGCTTTTCCCAAATTGCTTCTCCAGCCAGAGCCAAACCTGGTTAATGGGTTAAAAAGGAGTTTTCAGCTGCATGGGAGCCCTGGAACCATCAGAGGTTGAGCAAAGCAATTAAGGGAACTTAATAAAATTGCTGGGAAGCAAAATGAGTTCACAGCTCTCCTGCTTCTTGCTTTCTGTGGAAAAATAGGTCTGCAAGTGCTCCCCTTTCCTCATTACCCACGGTCCAGGCTGAACCAGGACTCGACCTTCATGGTCTGACAGCTCCTGGAATGCCAGGGAAACCTGGAATCCCACGGGAGGATGGGCTGCTGGGGAGAATTCATTGTGGTTTGGGGAAATTAGTGATGTTTTACCCTCGTCCCTGGCCCATTTGGGGGGAATAATGTGCAGAGGGCAAATAAAACTGGGAGGAAATTCAGTGGAGTGTAACAAATGTCTTTGTGCTGATCCTGAGCCCATCAAACCACGGCTTGCCTTGGAATTAAAGGCACGTTTGAGCCCAAACCTGTCAGTGTTCTCACTGCTCAGAACATGTTTACAGCCTTCCAGTGGGAGCTGATTCCTTGGCTCAGGAATCTTGGCCAGCACTGCTCTTGTGCAGAGGCTGGAGGGGAAGGTGGGAGCAGAGGAGCTGCAGGCAGAGCACAGACCTCAGCTTGCTTTGCCCCCACTCCAGGCAAACATCTCAGCCCATGCCTGCCCCTCAGCTCCCAGTTTGGGAGTAGAAACTGTGCCATGAGAGAGGTGGCTCTGTGGATAATTCCTTTTTGTGGGAGAAGCTGATTCAAGGAGACACAGGGATGGTTCAGGGATCAGGGCTTTGTGAGATTCTCTCAGCTGGCAGAAATGTGTTCTGGCATCTGAGGTCAGGAAAGGCAGGGAAGGGGGATTGTCTTCCAGGGAAAGACAGTGTCTTATATTAGACCAACTTTTGTAGTTGGGAGTGGAATAACAAAAGGAATGGAGAGGAAATTGAGGTAAAATATGGAGTAACTTAACACAGAAGGGCAGAAATTTGGGATAAGTGTGGTGAGTGGCCTGAATTTCTCCAAAACTAGTGAGGTGGAAACGTGGCTAACATTTGAAAAGTCAAACAGTTTGTCTTTTAACCCTTCCTTAACCCCCTTAAAAGTGAATTTAAAATACCAGCACTCTTCCTGTTCATTCTGAGGTTCAAGCACATCCCTTCCTGGGCAATTTTTGTCTTCCAGGCTCATCCCAAAGTGTGTGAGAAGCTCAAAACCCTCATGGTGGAGTGGGCAGAGGAATTCCAGAAAGACCCCCAGTGCAGCTTAATATCTGCAACTATCAAATCTTTAAAAGAAGAGGGGGTCACTTTTCCTGCAGCTGGATCACAGGTAAAAGCTGGTTTGGGATACTGTTGGATTCAGTGTTCCTGGGAACAAGGGAAAATATGTCTGGGTGTGGTGACTGGAGCTTTGGATCCGAGGAGAGCAGGACCCTGGTTCCTGTTGGGCTCCTCCCTTAGGCTGAGCTTCACTTCTGGCCATTCTGCTTTTTTTATGAATAAAAAAAATGGGACAATTAGACAAAGAAGACCAGACTGAAGGCCATCCCATGATGCCCCTGTGAGTTGTTTCATTTTCTCCCAAAGATTTTTTAGAGCTTCATTTTCCTGTCACCACCTGAAGCTGAAACAATTCTGCACCCACACTTGGAATTTGGTGTTTCCTGGCTGTCATTTTGCTGCCATGAAGCACACACCCCTTCACTCTCCCTCCCAGAGCCTCCCAAAGCAGGGGGCAGTGGAATAGAGACATTTGGGAAGAGGATCTGTGCTGTGGTTTCCTTTTCCAAGTCCCCATTCCCTGTTTGGGCAGTTCCCTGTCCATGGCAGGGGTTGTCATGGGTTTTGCAGTGGTTTGTTCTTTATTTTTTATGGTTTATTGTACCTTCTCTGACTGGCAGATATGATGCCAGGTGGTTTCTTTCTAACCTTTATTCTTGATGCTTCTTAATGTTTTCATGTTAATGATGAGTCAGGTGCAGATCAGCCCTGAAAATTCCAATGACAGCTCCTATTCCATATTCCTTACCCCGAGTTTACTTTGCTCCACATTAAACACCCAGGGGTTTTTTAACTTCTACAATCTTTCCTTCCTCCACAAAGATGTTTTCACTTCTAAATCCAGGCTATGTGTTAAAACATATGGTGGAAACATGGAAGGTTTGAGCACTGGCACCCAATTCCACTTCCCTGGGGGAATGAAAACTCTAGGAATGATTTCACTGTGCTGGTGTGGAGACTCAAGAGTGTTTCAGTCAGCAGCTCCCATTGGGAAGGAGGGGTGAAGGACAAAGGTGCAAAGAGTCATTTCTCACTTTAATAAATATGACTAAATCTAATAAATACGACTAAAATAATTATTTAAATGTTACTTGTATTAAATCTCAATATTTATTTTACTTCTTTCCCTGCTGAAAACAAAACCTGGCTGATGTTCTGAAGACTGGTGATTTTTCCTTCTTGAAAGTCATCTTGATTCCTTAAGGCAGCTGACCAGGAACAACTTGGTGCTAATTTTTTTAAATATATAATTATAGAGATTTGTGGGTTTTGTTTGTAACCTGAATTTTCTGTTGTTCCTACCTTTGCAGGCTTCCACCAATGCTGCTAAGAATGGTTCATCAGCCAGCAAAACCAAAGAAGATGAAGATATAGCTAAAGGTAAGTTAGATTTGTGCTCCAGAAGTTTTGTTAAAAAGCAGGGAAATGGGAATTTGGGCTCTTTTCTGCCTCATAGAATTGAAATCAAATTCCCAGCAGGCTGGGAATTGGAATACTGTGCCACTCATGGTGTTTTCCTCACCCATGAGGATCTGGGCTAAGATATATTCTTCCCCATGGCAGCCATTTGAACTCGAAATTTTACATCTTAGGGAAGCAGACCACGTTTAAATAACACAATAAATACTATTTTTATTACATTAAGAAATCAAACCACCTTTGTATACAGGGCTAAGCACACAAGACATGTGATTTTTCTTTCTCCCTTAATTGTAGCCATCGAATTGTCTCTGCAAGAGCAGAAGCAGCAGCAAACAGAGACCAAATCCTTGTACCCAAGTGCAGAAATGCCCCAGAACACCCAGAGCCTGAGGAAGGTGCGAGCCCTGTATGACTTTGAAGCTGTGGAGGACAATGAGCTCACCTTTAAAAGTGGAGAGATTATTTTTGTTTTGGATGACAGGTATAACACGCTCACACGGAGGGGGGGACTTTATCCCACCGTTATTTATCCCACAAAATACTGTTTTCTTAGGATGGTAAACTTTTCCTGGGAGAAACATCCTGTCACTCTGGCCTCCCTCACACCCCTTTATCTTCCTTTTGTCTTTCCATCCTCCTCTTTTTGACCTCTAGTGCAGACAAACTCAAGGATTTCATGCAATTTGTAGTTTTTTAAGATAAGTGTTAGTTGGTTGTGTGTCATCCCAGAGCTGAATTCCAGCTGCTTCCAGCATTTGTTAAATCTCTGGCTATCAAGGAGCACATTTAGTAGGGATAAAAGTGATTATAAATAGCTGAAGTGATTCTTGTTGTTACCACCTGTAGATATACAGAGAGTTATAAAGGAATCGATATAAAGAATTGATGAATTGTGTTAAGTTTGGAGTGATTCCTGGTCCCCTTATTCCTCTTCCTCCCTTCCCTCCCCTTTGCCCCAGCTCCTGGCTGTGGCTTGGTGTTAATCTCTGTACTCAGGATCACAGGTTTCCTGTAAAAAGCCCCAAATATGTCTCTGTTTTAATACCCAGGGGTTTTAATCCATCTTTATTCCCCCAGTGATGCCAACTGGTGGAAAGGTGAAAACCACAGAGGAGTGGGGCTCTTCCCATCCAATTTTGTGACCTCTGACCTGACTGTGGAACCCGAGGCAGGTGAGTCACCTGCCCAAAACTCAGGAGTTATTTTAGAAAGGCAGGTTTATGCTGCAGCTAATTAGCCCCTCAGCAAAATAATTCCCTGATAATCAGCCTGGGGAAAGAACTGAGAGACATCCTGCCCTTGTTTCAAACCAGCAACCACAGATCACAGCTCGCTGTCATCTCTGTTTTCTCCTCTAAGTTTTCCATTTCTTCCTCCTCTTACAGAAATTTGGTTCAGCTCACCAGGGCTGTTTGTCACTGACATATTACACACATGAACCCAGTAAATTTTAAAATGTCACATTCTCTCTTCAGACCCAAGAACAACATCCCCACCCGTGGCAGGGGGTTGTCAGAGTCACATTGTTGGCTCCATCCAAGCCCAGGAGACCAAAATAAACCTCAGCACTCAGGACTTGGCTGGAAGGGAATGTGTTGGAGGTGGTTTTTAGCTTTTAGGTTTCCCAGGCAAACCCATTTGCCTTTCACTGAGTGCATCACTGCTTGAAGCACTTATTCAAACATCTCTGCCCTTTAAAGAACTGATGGATTACAGGGAGGAAATGTGTGTTTTAAGTTAACCTAGAGCTGCAGAAAAGAAACTCATCTTTGTTCTTCCAGCAGCTGTGGATAAAATCTCTGTTCCTGAGGATACTGCAGAAGAAATTAAGAAAGCAGAGCCTGAGCCAGTTTATATAGATGAGGTATGGAGCCACTTTAAATGTAAGATATTGCTGAGCTTTTGCATCCTTTTGCTGCTGAATGCTGGCAGATAATTCTTTTTGCATAAAGAACTTTTATTTGAAAATTCAAACGGTCTCTGCATTGGTTGGGAAATAAAAGTTCTTAATCTTCTCTTCACCTTCCAGGATAAGATGGATAAAACCCTGCAGGTGCTCCAGAGCATAGATCCTACAGATTTAAAGCTTGATTCTCCAGATCTTCTCGACTCAGAAGGTACTTGGAGCACTCAGCTATTTTTCTAATATTATTTCTGCTCACACAATTACCTTTTGTGGCTCGAGCTGGTGGTTCTTTTGTGTTTATTTTAAGCTTAGAGGAGCCGTGGTCTGTACCAAGAGAGTGCTGTAGAACAGTTTCTCTCCCAGTGGGAGTGTGGGGCTCTGTGTATAATTTGAATTTCTTTAATAGTTCCAAGCCAGCTCCATGTTTAGCAGAGCAATTTGCATAGCTTCCAGCTCCCAGAAAATGCCTGATCTTTGCAAGATCCAAATCCCAGCTCTCAGCTGAGCAGTTATCGAAATAACATGAAAAAATTGGATTTTTAGCCGGCTACACAAAAATCAATTGCTTGTTTCAATAAATGCTTTTGGCTGCATTTAAGCTCTTAATTTGTGCAGGATATTAACTACCTCAACACTTTGTGCTCACAGATATCTGCCAGCAGATGGGTCCAATGATAGATGAAAAACTAGAAGAGATAGACAGGTGAGCCTAATGAAGCTTCTGCTATTTACTGATTTACTTCAAATTCTGCAGTTGGAATAATATTATTTTTTTGTGCTACTTTCACCTCCCAAGCTGGAAAACCTTGCAAGGAAACTGTGACAACCCTCCCTTTATTTTTTTAATGCTGAAGTATTGAGTTCCCAGGGGGTGCACTCAGGTTTGGTTACTGCTCTCCAAAATTTCCTGCACGAGTCATGGGTGCATTTTATTTTGGCATTCTTTTTTTGGCTGGAGCCTTTTGCAGCTTGGCCAGAGGTTGGAATTTTCAGTGTCCTGCTCAGCATCCATGACAGGAAAATCTGTTCAGTGTTATCTTCACCTCTCCCTCCCCAGATTTGGGCTTCCAAGACCTGAAGGTGCCAGGAAAGATGGAGAGAGACTTTTTACAAGGGGTGGAGGGACAGGACACAGGGAATGGTTTCCCACTGCCAGAGGGCAGGGAGAGATGGGATATTGGGAAGGAATTGCTGGCTGGGAGGGTGGGGAGGCCCTGGCCCAGGTTGGGCAGAGAAGCTGTGGCTGCCCCTGGATCCCTGGAAGTGTCCAAGGCCAGGTTGGATGGGGCTTGGAGCAACCTGGGCTAGTGATGATCCTTAATTTCCCTCCAACCCAACCCATCCCATGATTCTGTGATTTCTGGGGATATTTGGGGGTGACAATACCCCTGGGAGTTGCTTGTCTCATGGCAGCTCTGGGGAGGGATAGTTTTGCACCACTTGGGCTCTCCCTCCAGTCCCAGAACGGCAATTTTCCAATATAAATGGGTAAAAACTTGACCATTTACGTTTTAAGGCTTAATTTTTCTTGCACATTCCAAGCTATTTAAGGAACCACTTCCCTTTTTGCCCCCTCTAAAGGAGCTCAGTGTCTTTATGCCTTTGTTTTGAACCAGGAAACATTCCGAGTTGTCGGAGCTGAACGTGAAGGTTCTGGAAGCTCTGGAGCTCTACAACAAGCTGATGAATGAGAGCCCCATGTACTCAGCCTACTCCAAACTCCACCACCCTGCACAGTTCCCACCCACGTCCTCGGGGGTCTCTGTGCAGGTCAGTGTCCCTGGGATCTGGGAATAGAACTCGGGATTTCTGTTTGGAAGGATGACAGCAAACACGGAGCGAGCCCACGAGCGGCCTGACACTGCCTGGGGGGGCTTTTTACAGCCTTGCCAGGAGAACCCGAGGGATGCACTGATGGCTCTGCTTGGCCAGTATTGAAAATTCCCCAAGATTCCTCCCATGGTTCCTTTTTTACACTTGGAATTGTGTGTCTCAGCTCCTGCTGTGAGTCATGTCAGTCCCCGAGTGGAACGTTCCCTTCTTCTCTAATGGAGGGGACGGGGGTGAACTGCAATATAATATTAATCCCAAGTGTGGTTTTTTTTTCTAAATATGGAAACACCCCCCTTCTAGGTCTTTTTAAAGGAATGAACATGTTCCATCAGTTATAATACCTGGATAATAACATATTTATTAGTTACAAGCACATATTCAGGCTCAGGAGCGTTTTACGGTGTCCCCAATGTGCCTATTGAGGGCTCGAGGAAAAAAAAAACCAGAGGAGAAGGAGAGGTTTTAAAGCACAGAATGAGGGTTTTTACTTGAAGTGAATTTTACTTTAATGTTAATTGTTCAGTGGGAAAAGAATAGTTGCCATAGCAACTGCCAGATCTGAAAATATGTCAGTTAAAAGTAATTCCGTGTCCTTAACTCCCGGTGACGATGGAAAATTCATTATATCTGGAGGTTAGAAAGTAATTTAAGCCAAAAGGCAACTGGAGTTTGCTGCTCCTTCCAAGATTCCTGCTTCCAGTGGTCAGAAATGCGGGATAATGCTGGCCATGCTGGGCTTTGGGAGTGGTTATTTGGGACAAACAGTTCCTTCAGTGCCCATAAATTATCCCAAAGCCAAACCCAGTGAGCTCTTTAGTCCTGTGATACCCAAATTTTGAGGAAATCTCGTATTATTTAAGCCAGAAATGCAAGAAATTAAAAGGGTTTTATCTTTCTGATGGTTTGATTTCCAAAATGTGCTGAAGAAGTCTCAGGTTCCTGCTGGATTTTCTTTGCAGTCGTATCCCGTGCAGCCTCCCAGTGGGAATTACATGCTCCAGGGGGTCCAGCAGGTCTCCATGTCCCCAGGGTACAGCCTGGCACCTCAAAGCCTCAATTCCTCGGGAGCCACTCAGCCCCCTCAAGCTGCTTATTTAAGGTATGGATCCACCAAATTCCTCTCCCAGGTGGGAATTCTGCTGCTTTGCCTGGAAGTGCCACGTTCTTGTCATATTTATATTTACAGTGACAAGGAATTTTGAAAGGAAAACAGCAATTTTGCTGAACTGGGTATGAGTGGGAACTTTATTAGGGATAAAATTGGATGTTTCCCAGGAAGTTTTTAAGGGATGAAGCTTGAAAAGGAACCTCAGACTTCAGGTTTAACCACCCAGCCCCAGAGAGTAAAAATTAAAGAGATTCCACAGATATTCAATATATTAATTCAGTATATTTCACAGAATATTCTGAGTGGGGAGGGACCCACAAGGATCATCGAGTAGCAAATTTGTTGAAAAATTTTGGGGGTGAAAACATTTTTCCTGCAAAAGCCATAAAAACCTGCCAAGTTACAGGCATGAACATTATGGAAAGGGAGTATTCCTGGGAAATTCTCTGTTTATTAACGTGGAAGAGTAACAGGAGGGAAACCTGGGGCTGCAGCTGGTTTGGGCTGTGAGGGTGTGTGTGTAAAAAATGTGGGTTTTTAGCCAGAAAGCCACTGAATACCTTGAAAAACCACCGTTTGGTTCACGTTATGTTCAAATTTCTGTGTTCTTAAAGCCCCTGACTTGCTCTTGGAGCAGCCAGTGGTGTTGTTTGTAAAGCTGGTTGTGGGGTGGATGGGCATGAGGGGTGAGAGTGAGCCTTGTGTTGTCT